TTTCTTTTAAATGATTAAAAATGAAGAGTGGGAGCTTCATTATGCATGTTGTGGTTAAAATCATTTTGGGGAGACACTGGAAACTGGCAACTGCACTAAGTGGGACAGAAAAAAAGCATTACCACTACAGAGAAGACAACTTGCAGCACTGACTGGAGGTAAGCATATTTGGAACACATTGGTGATCTGTCACATGGACTGTTAAGCTTGCTAACCCACTTGAATGATAAATGTAAAACCATGTGGCCAATGTTGCATTTTATATATAGAAATGTAGAAGCAGCAGTAGCAGCAACAGCAGCAGCACCATCAGCAGCAAAATAGTAGTATCCTACTCATGGCTAGTGAAGGCTCAATGTGATTTACTACCATGTAAGTGGGTTAAATGTTAAAAACAAACCAAGCCAACAAACCAAGGGGGTGTTCTTAATTGTTGCTGAGAGGCAGGCAGTTGTGTGCTGCAGTTCTTATTTCAACAAGATACTGGCAATCATGTTCTTCATTGTCTCCAGTTTTAACTATTAATCCTGCAAAGGAAGATAACATTATTAGGTTATCTTTTAGTGGCCACAGAATTGGCAAGTGAATATTCAGTTCCTGTTACAGAGAAAATGTGACATATTAAATTATGAGGCAGTGGCTTTAATTTGGTTAGACATAAGTGCTGAAGTTTGCTTTATCTTACAGTAGAACTAGCTCACCCTAATGTCATGCTTTAGAAGCATGGCTTCATTAAGGTTGCTTCTGCTGCTACTTTGATCTACTCCTGTTCTGAAAAGGCTATTAAGACATGGCCAGAAACTACAAACACAATGCATAAGTATAGACAGCCATCAACCAATGGGTAACGTACTACAGTGACAGATAGCATTTCATAAATTAGTGGTCTGAACTAATGCAGAAACTAAACTAAACCAAACCAGAAACCACTTCTAATGTAATGTTTGGGCATTCCAATTGATTTCCAGAGGGGACACTGAAAAAAGCATGTGAGGGGAAAAGCTGCATTGTTCCCATCTCCCGAACATGGTAACTTTGCACACGTAAGGGTTATTTTGGTCTGTGTATGGGTGGGCAGGCATTCCAATGCTTGATCTCACACTTGGAGTCTGAAAAAGCAGGGAAAAATAACATGGGAACAGAAGATTGGACTTACCATGCATTATCTTACTCTTTTGGTAGGAAAGAGGATAGTATGGGTCTTCTAATCGACTCCATGAAATGCTGGAGGTAGGTCTAATAAAGCTTTTGCCTTTTCAGAGTGGAAAAATTCCATTTCCTCATCTGAGATGTGATATAGTTTGTAAATCTTTGAAAAAATGCAGTTGTGGTGCTGTGACTACTTGCAAAAGAATAGAACAACAGCAACAACATTAATAAAAACTCTAGGTATAAAAGAGACTCAATGCCAATACTCCCTCTGACTAGATATCAAGCCCTGGAAGGTCAGAAACAGAGTAATGTAGGAAGGTTAAAAATTAAACATTTGCTTGCTAGCTTGATGATTAAGAAATAGTTACATAAAGAGAAAACTAAATGTACTGTTGTAGCTAAAAGTAAAAAAAGGAACATGGGGACAGTGCTAATTCTGAAATTTTGAGATGGGACACTGTCATTTTGAGCAAATGGGAATAGTCTAGATTATCATAGGAGCATTAACTAAACAGATATCAAGACAAAACATTTCAAAGTATTACATTATATAGGGTATTAAAGGGAATGCAAGATAATGCTAGCAGAAAGGTAAAATAGGTGATATATTTATGTCTTGCCTTTTCCTCCTGTTGTTAAACATTGTCATTAATCACCATGGTACCAACTCTTCTTCTTTGGGTTCATAGAAATGTCTTTTAAATACTGCTCTTCCACTGCTTTTTCTTACAGTGATTGTGTTTTTCAGTTCATTAAGATGGACAGAAACTGAGTACAAGAGGGGACTACAGGGATTCATCAAAAGCAGGTCCTGGCTAATGTGTCCTTGACTATGAAAGCAAACTACCATTAAAATGAAACAAGAATGCTCCTGTCCCAGAAGGGTCCAGCTGCTGCAATTTGAAACCACTTGCTCCCAAATGCTACCTCTGGTGGCTACCATCTTGTACTGTCAGGTGAAGGTGAACATGGAAACCTAGCTTCTCTGCAAAGGCGGCGGAAGTGCCATTCCACACATGGAGTGGATACAGATTGATGTGCAAGGATCACACATTTTCTTATCCACTGACTCATGATGCACATGGAATACTTTCCAGCAGTAAACAGTAGAAATGAGTATACTTCAGTATGCCATAAATTTGCCCTGCCAATATTGAGCACCATTATTGTGTGGCAGTGTAATTGCCTTTCCGTGCTTCGTTTACTTTGTCATGGCGGGAACTAGCAGATGGACCTCAGTAGAGAATGAGAGTTGTTGGGGTTCAGCATTTCCTCAGCTAGCTTCCAGAGTTCCTGCAGCATCAATCCCCATTTGTGATATTGAGTGAAAGACATTACTATCGGAGAATGAAGGAGTGAGATCACTCAGCAGCTCGCACAATAGCAGCCTTGAAGCCTGCAGGAGTTTGTTTTGCTTATAATGGCACTCTGAAATGATTGATGTCCCTCAGCTTGTTAGCAGCATTGTTCCCATCAGGTAAGCTCACACTGGGGAATGCCACTAGCTGAAATAGTGCATCCTGTAAACAGAATTCTGTTTTACTACGCCTCAGATCTGGTTGTCCATAGAAGGAACAGCAGGAAACCTTTGAAGAGCACAGTTGGTTACACTTTTATCTTCACATGTGGAAAGAAGGGGTCCACAGGGGAAGCTGTTCATTTGGTGCATAGAGGACAAGAATGGTGGGTGAGCAGTGAGGGAACATCACCAAGAAAAAAAGAGTAATTTCCCAGATTTTTGTGTCAAAGATGCCAAAGCTAGACTGTTTTCATGCTCAACTAAAGGAGAAATGGCCTTGCCTAAAGAAAACACCATCTCTTGTGTGTCAGTTATCACTGGCATCCTTTACTTGATGCATCTGGGAAGTAGGCCACCTACATACTCTTGCACAAGTAATGTTAGTTCACAGAAGATGGCTTTTTAAGCTATTTGAAAGCTATTTTAAAGGTCCATTAAGCTCAGATCTCTCTAACAAAACCCCTTCATTCCAATTTATAGAATTGCCAAATATATTCTATAGTTTTGGATTACATTAAAGAGCTATCAGGCACAGCCTTATCATGTATTCCCAACAAAAGAAAAAACAAAGAGGCCCCCTGTGGTTTGTTTCAACTACAGCCCAGTTCCATGCTGAGCAAATGGTACACTACACTTTTGTTTGCATTTAAAAATGACGACCTAATTAAAAGATCAGCTGGGTTCTCTATGCTGGCAGAGAATAAACCTTGTTACTAAATGAAGGCTATTTGGGTGCTCTTCAATAGAATTCAGTGGAACAGCACATGCTGTTTTACAAAGAGTGGGCTTAGTTTTAATGCATGGTATCTTCATTTATGTACAAAAGCTAAGGCCGATCTAATTAAAACCTTTAAAAGCTGCTTCATTCTGAGTAGACAGTGCTCAGCTAAGGGTCTTTTGTTTTCACCCAAGGCAGTTGCATGCAGTAAAACAGTACAGTTGAAAGATTAAAAAAAAACCTTACTATTCTCTCAGCATTATCACCTAAAAGGGATTTGTGGGGAGTGTGTACTATACAGTAGTACTTTGCTCCATATCATACAATGCTTGAAACAACATACCCCAAGCAACCATAGGATGCCTTATCTATTTGTGGAAAAGAAAACCAAGTGATTTGGAAATTAAGATTTACAAGGCCAGGTAACTTGAAGTTAGGAATTCAGGTCTAGAATATACCATTCGCATAGGGTCATTCTGAAATAAACTCAGCATATGCATATTTTCAGTAACACTGTAAGAGAGCAGTATTGAATTTAAGCCTGTGAAATTTCAGGCAGTGCTGGACTAGGACCTGGGACATCTGGGTTTTCATCTTCACCTGGCCATGAAGTTCACCAGGTAACTTTGGGCCAGTCACTGACTTAGCCTAACCTCCTTCATGGGGTTGTTCTATGGATAACATGAAGAGAACCTTGTAAGCCACCTTGAAAGAGGGAAAAAGGAGCACATAATGTAACCACAGACATCCTTAAAATAGCATTTTTTACATGTCATGAAAGCTTTTGTTTATATGTAGAGTATGTGTGTGAAACAAGCTTTAAACTGAACTCAAAGGGTATGGTGTAAACTGGTGACCTGCAAAAGCAGGAGGTTGCAGCTGCTGGCCTTCTTGGCCCCTTCCAACTCTTACTATTCTATGATTCAGAGCTCTGACTAGTTCAAACTGCCTCAAACTCAGACATGATACTTGCTCTAGATCAGGGGTCTCAAACTCACAGCCCACGGGCCAATTGCCAGGATGAGTAGGGCACGGGGGAGGGGCCCTGCGGCCTTCAAAGCACCAGCGGCGCCCAGGCCGGCCTCCGGATGAGTGGCCCACCACCACTGCGGTGGTGGAATACTTGATGCGGCCCAGCCTCACCCGGACTCTACTTCCAATGGCCCCCAGGTAAGTTGAGTTTGAGACCCCTGCTCTAGATGCTTTCAGATTCCTAGTGGTTGTTCTTTGACCATTAGACCATGCTGTGCACAGCACTGATCTGGAAAATCATTTCATTCCTACTAATTCTCTCTCTCTCTCTCTCTCTACAGATTAACACACAGTAACATTACCACAGAAGTGTCCTTATAAGGGATGATGAGTCAAATAAATGCACAATGGAGTTTGGGATTGTGTTTATCCTGCACTGCCATCCTCACATGCCATAATACTTCTTTTCCCCCCTAACAAGTTCAGATGAAAAACTGCTAAAGTTAGCATTTTGGAGCCTACAGCATAGAGCTCAATTAATGGTTGCATATGTAGACTTTCTCGTGATAGTGTCAGCTTCTCTGTACAAGTAATTTATACCTTTTAAGTAGCATAAAATGGATGAGATGGAAACAATTATTTTCATGAGGTATTATAGGTTTATTTCTTGAAGCCATATACTTTTATTAAGCATTAGAAAGTCACATACAAAACTGAACTCCGGCTCTGTATATTAACAAAACATGAACTCTCATTCCAAAAGGAGACACTGTGCTTAATTTTTTTCTATTAAGATACAATCCATGCCCAATAAATTCTACATAGTTGAAAACTAAAAGTAATATATGTAACAGCCACAGAGATTGTGTCTTTGGGAAACTCTCTTTTAAAAAACAATTTCCATAATGAAATGTAAAGTACACTAACTTGAAAAAGGGTAAACAATCATTCCACAAAATGTTACTTAAATTCATTCAAAACCTTTATAAAGAGATGTGGAAAAATACCTAAAATAGTTTATTCTTTTATAAAATTTCAGTAATAAAATATTGCTTGCAATAAATAAGAAATTACATTTCACAAATACTGGTTTCTCCACCATTTCTTGATCTCTTAAAATGAAATTTCTCTTGTTAATCTCTTAAGTTATTCAAAGGCAGTTAGAAGTCTCTTTGTTAAGTCACACTGCAGTATTTATCAGTGACTGGATGGGACACTGCCAGTTACAGGAAACATTTTTGTGACTTCCAAGACCCACACAGAACACATTTTTTCAATCTTTGGGAAAAAAAGAACACTGTTTATAACTTCCTTTGCACCTTGTAATACATACAAGTTTAGAATTTTCCACAATACTGCTTGAGTGTGCGGCTGTATGAGATAGATTAATGAAGCTAGGAAATGCAAGCTTTGCTTCAACTATATGGAAATATTGGATTTCATTGCTGCCCTTCCCATCTGTAGACAAGGCAATTTTGAACAATTCTTTAGCAGCTGCTCAATCGCAATGTGGCGGACATTAAGTTGTGAAGCTAAGGAGTCTTTTTCTTGTACTTGCTTAGCCAGCTCTTCAAATACATCTGAAAGAAGGTTTGACATCAAGTTACTCTACAACTTCAGAAATATATGCCGTAAGAGTTTGCAAGGCTGTAATTTCATTTATGAGGTATTAAAAAGAAAATGACAATTATGAACTTCTGTATCAAGTATGCTTGTATCCTAGCTGCTCCGGAAAGCGATATGGCTACCTTACAAATATGGGTGTGGTTAGATGTGAAAACAGCCAAGTGTTAAAACACATCCCACCTTGGACTTGCTTGAGTAGTTTCCCATTTAGCTGCTCCACCTCCTCAAGGGTCATCATACTCACTGAAATATGAAGAAAATGCATAACAGTCAGACAGTATAAATATGGGAGTAAGGAAGAAAAGGAGAGACACCCAACAAATAGATTAAAAACCTATATAATATTTATTTCATTTATATACCGCCCAAGAGCTGATGCTTTCTGGGTGGTTAACAAAAGTTAAAAACTTTCACGAGGGTGAAACAACTATGTAAAAGCTCACTGAAGCTAGCTTCCCCTTTTATTACAATAATAAAAATACTGAAAAATATTAACAAATTCCTTATAAAGGCTTTATTGCCAAAAGAACATTGAAAGTCAAATGTCCAGAGTGAAAAACAATGTAAGGTCTACGATACGCCACACAGCTGCCTTTCAATGCATCATTTCCATTTGTAGTGTAAAGTAACACCATACTCTACTCTTTCCTCTGGTCATAATTATAAGTTGAACTTATTTAACCAAAGCTGCATGCTCATTCATTATTAGTGTTCCCTTATACCTGCCCCAAACTTTTAAATTCTTATTAGCTGGTCTAGGATTGCTATAATAAATGCAATGAAGTGTTCTAAAAGTAACACACACATAGTGACCAGATGGTCTAGTGAACCGAGACAAAAGATCACTGTGTTCAATGAAATTTAATCCCTAGTAAGTGCATTTAGGACTGCTGCCACCTAGAATCACACTTTGCCAAAATGAAGGATAATACAGATTAGTTCCACCAACTGAAAATAAAATCATTACATTTATTGTTTCTACATTAGTGTAAGCTCAGAAAAAATTGACTGGGTTTGTGCATCACCACAACTTAACTAGTATTTGCAAGCTAGTTAAAAAGACTATCCTTTTTCAAGGGGCACTTGATGATTAACTATGGATCTTCTAGATCTATGCTGACACATTTTAATGAAATGCCCCAACTGGACATTTGTTTTTCTCATTTTCAATAACTTTCAGATATGTTTAATTACTGAAACCTATTTCTATATGCTATAAAAGTACAATGCAAACAAGTATAGCTAAAAATAATCCAGAGATTATATACCAGTCTCACCATTACATCTACTTACATTGTTCCCTGCTGTACTGGGGATGTCTTCTGTGAACGCAAGTATCTGAATCTTTTTTATTTTTTCCCATCTCTGATGACTGGTTATGACTAGACCACAATGAATTACTACAACAAAAAGTAGTGTCTCTTTGTTGCAACATATCAAATCTAAAATCACTTGATTCTCTCGATTCTATAATACTTTGTGAACAGTTTGAAATACTCCCAGAGTTTCCATCTATCCATTTTTCAGAATATTTAGGGACCTGGGAATCAAATTGTGGAAGAAGTTTTCTGTCTCTCTGATGTCCAAAACTAAAAAGTCGATGCTGTGTTTGTTTTGCACCTTCAGAATCCAAATCCAAATCTTTGTTTTGGGCATACTGTATAATCCAGTTAATTTTTTTGCTCAAGATATTTTTTACTTCTGCATATGTACTCTTGGAGAGTTTTGACCGCGGACAACTCTGGTTTGCTATTAAGTGGAATTTTTCAAAGCAGTCCCTGTGTCCTCTCAATGACCTTGTATGTAGAAGATCAGACTTTGGTATCCCTAAGAGAGAAAAAATAGTATAGTTTACTTATTGAAAAAATAATGCTAAACTGACTACAAATATTTAAAAATCATATCTCAAGCATAGAAAACTAGGTGTTTCTTTTAAAGAAATATACAAAATATCTGAAGTGTTTTTTAAAATCAAGAAACATTAGTTACTGATGTACTATTGACCTTCAAAACTGTTTGAGAAAGGTTGCATTAAAATGTAGCAATTTACCAACACAAACTTGCTAAGCTTTGTCAACAACATCCTTTTATTAGTAAACTTCTAGGCCATACTGAAAAATATGAAAAGTGTTAATTCTGTGGTGTAGTTTTGCCAAGCTAACTGCAGTAGTATTTTTCTGGGAGAGATAAAAAGCTAATTGGTTCATGGATGGTCAATGAACTGACCAGGTAAGCAGTTATAACTATTCAGCCATCATTTTTCAGGTATCTCTGAACTGGCCAAGACAAAGAGTGCTCTCAGTAAAAAAAACAAACACAAAAATATTAACAGCTGCTACAGTTAGATGCTTTTTCTTCATTCTTCACAAAAGTAGGAACAACAATATGAAATGTAATCCAAATGTGGCTATGTAGGATATGGAACTCAGTCAAACTAGATTCTTGAGAAGCATTCTAAGTCTGCCTGAATGGGTAAAGAATACCGCTTTAAGATTAAAAGTTGGAATTTCTTCTATAGAGTTTAGCCTGGATGTATGCATTTAATTTTAGGGTACATTTAATTTACCCCTAAGATTATGGCCCTCAAACTATCTAGAACTGATGTTGACAGAAAATTATACCTGTCTGTGGATGAAGTAAAACAATAAAGCCAAACTGGAGTATAACTAATCCAGTTAAATGGTATGATTTCATACAGCTAAGATGACAGAACAAAAATAGAATATTTGCAGGTAGCAAAGTCAGAGGCAAACTGTGTACATTAACCACTAAAGAGGGAGTGGAGTTGATATCACAGTATCCATTGCCAAACTATCTTCAGGTTTTATCTATAGTTAAATACAGGAAACCATTTATAGCTGTTAATTTTAATTGTTGTCCATTAGCAGTCATGAAAAGATGATTTTAAAACCTTCCTCTTGAATCAACAGTGTGTTCTTATCAGAACTTGTTGAAACAGTAGATCATGTTTTACTGGAATGTGGCTTTCAGAATATTAGGACCCACTTTATAAACCCATTACTTATTTTGCTGCCTTTTTCACATGTTGGCTAGCATAAATAAAACTGAAATACAAATAAATAATTTGTAATAAAACTGAACAGCAAAGTATTTCATGGCTGTTGAAATGAGATTATAAATAGTTAAGGGCTGTCAGTAAATGTTATTGGATGATAAATGGTAGGAACACTAACTTTTTATGTTATGGTAAGGTATACTTTTATTACTTTTTGTGAGCACTTGTGTCCCATTTTGGCATTTTATTCTTATCCTTTATTTCATAATATTACTGTATTGTTTTTCCAATTGTTTAACAATGTTTTAATAAAGGTTTCATAATAATACCATAAATTATATTGAACACCTTCACTGATTGGTATATGCTGCTTTTAAATAGCAACACTGCAAAAACAGTGTTAAGTATTAATTTTGTAGATGATGAAAAATTAACCATGAGAGGCCAACTCCAGGCTGCAAGAGTGAGACACTGAAAAATAAACCACTCTAATATGATTCAGAAAATAAAAATGATAGTTTAATTTTACCTAAAGAAAGCTTTTAAGTCTGTACTAAGTCCCTGAAATTTTCCATTCTCTATCAGCACAACCTTGGCATCTAAGAACTGCCTCAGAATAAGAGCCTGAATGACTAAAAAGAAGCTGATCTTATCAGTAATGGGAGTCTTCCTGTGACAGAAGCCTTCTATTATAATGACCAACAGTACTGCCTGGATTCAGCTTTTGTCAGACACTGAATAAGTCTCCAAATAATGTAGTTCACTTTCCAACAAATATCCCATATAAACCAAACTGAGACTGTTAAGCTCTATTAAGACTAGGGCCTTCAGGAGCTTACAGTGGACTATCCACAATATTTCCAAATGTAGTTTTTAATGAAGGAAGGATATTTTCTAAATAACTATTATGTATGTATATTGCAATGTACAGGGGCAGCCAAAAATTGGTTATCAATGCCTCATAAAGAGAGGGAGCGGTTCCTGCCCCGTTAAGAGAGGCATTGGTGAGACCACTCCTTAAAAGGCTGAGCCTGGATCCAGGGGTATTTGAGAACAACTGACCCATCACTAATCTTCCTTTTTCAGAATGTGTTATTTTAGCAGTGTGAGTCACATAGGGATGCCATAAATGGAGCAGGTGGCATATAACTATTTTAAATAAATAAATTGGGGAGATTCTGTAGTTAAAACAGCTGGATGAAATCCATTTTTAGTTAGTACAGAGATGTGAGCAGTAAGTGATCAGAGGCACTCTGATATTAAGCAATATCAAAGTATGGTTCCCTATGCAAATAAAGGTTAAATCTTTCTGAACTTTTTCAACTAGAGAGTCCTTAATTGAATGGCAAAGTGGTTAGCTTGTTCCATTACCTCACAGCAGACTTAATTATTTCTTCATTGCTTCTTCTCTGGAAGCTAAGAAATCTAGTCCATAGAAAAGGCTAATTTTAACTTAACCGTCTAGATTAATAGACTTGTATGCCTCTGAAGCCTAATGCAAGTTCAGGACAGACCTTCTTCTGTCAACTCCCCTCAAAACTTTTAAAGAGAACAATTTAATACTTATATCTTCATTTCTATACTCAGTTAGGATATTGGATAACAAGCATCCTTTATTCTGGAACAGGGAATCAGCAATATCTCAGATGTCGCTGAACTACAAATCCCATTGGTACCACCCAACATGGCCAATTGTGAGCGATTACTGGGCCTGTATTCCAGTAGCACCTGGAAGACCACTGAGTCCCTCATCCCTGCCTTATTCTCAAATAGCAGGCATGAACTGGACCCTTGCACAATTATACAAATTAATACAATATAATCCAACATAAGATAGCCTTAAAAACCATTAAGTGAACTGAATCTTTTGTTTCCATCTTATCTGACAAAGTTTGAACAGTGCAATTGCTCAATTACAGCAATAATGTAATGACACTTTTGATACCAGTTTCCAATTTTTTAAAATGTCATTCAGAATTTTTAATTATATTTCTATACTTGGAACATGCTGCCTTCAATCCTATCCTGAGGAAAGAAAGAAAAGCCATGCAAACTCTATGAAGAACTGAAAGTTCTACAAATTTGTGGCCATCACTAAACATTGCGGTAGTAGATTTCATAGTTTTCTGTCCTGAACCTCTCAATGATCTTCTTCATAGTTCTATTTTTAAATATTCTTTACCATACAGAAACCAATCGAAAAACCATATAATAAAAACTCAGTACACAAAATAAAGTCTAAAAACAGAAATCACCTTTAGTGTACCCCTCCACCAGAACCATGGCTGTCTAGACTTTTTTCCTCCATTTTTCCACTCCTGAGAACTCCCCTTCCATCCAAAATTACAATACAGCCTACATATTCAATAAAAATACCCCATATATTTTTTAAAATCATTCTTCTTTAACCAATCCTATTTTCACCCTTATTTCACATATCAACTTCTCATTAACTACTATATTCCAAACTTCTTTATACCATTCAATTAACTGGAGATCCCTTTCCCCTTCCAATTCTTTGCTATTAACAGTTTTGTTGTGGTTACCAAATTTATAATTAATCATTTGATATTCCATTTCTTCTCACTGAAAAATAGTAACAGTGTTATTTCAGGGTCCACTTCAATTTTTACATTCAATATCTTACTGATCTCCTTAAAATCATTATCCATTTTTAAAGTGTTCACATTCCCTGCTTCATGGTTCTATTACTAAAGGAGAGAGGGAAATGTCTCTGTGGTCATTTTCCCACACCATACAACCTTTTGTACACCTCTATCATATCTCTCCTGTTTCTTTCCTCCCATAGGCTAAGCAGTGCCAGACACTGTAACCTTTCCATATATAAGAATTGCCAAAAGGTACTCAATTGCTATAAAATCTAATATAATGGTTTTTGACAAATCCTTAATATACAAACAAATTGGTCTTATCTGTAAGCTGGATTCCTGTATAGCAAATCCTTGCTTAGAACTTGCATCAGAATTATAGCTACATGTGAAAACTGAGATTATCTTCCTATCAAGCAAAACTCTACAAAACAGCTCTCAGCATGCAGATTCTTCTACAATGTCTATATGGGTTCTCTATATTAAAAAAATGAATACCAAAAGAGACTCTTACACCAACATTGTATCTCTATCTTCCTGACATGCATAAAATACATTTAAAACAGCAAGTACATAAACCTAAAAAAAGTAACTAAAATTACTTTCATATGTGTATTTTAAAGCAGATGCTGATGAATTTGAAACATGTATTTACTCATGCTATTTCTGCAGCCTTTCATAATTGAAGTCCTCATTATATGTAACAGCCAGCATTAGCTTTTGTATTCAGCACATGTTGCTCAATTACACAATAGCTGCTGGCCTTGTTTCTTCTTTATGTGCAAATCTCTTCTCCAAGTTAGGCTAGTAGCTGTGCAAGTTTAAACAAAGAATAGCACACACAGCACTGAGCTGCCAGGACTTGCCAACTAGTTATATCCTTTCTTTATATGGTGACTGTTCCTTATAATCAATCCCACCTGCTATCTAGGTTACAAGGTATTTGATTCAATGTTTGCTTAGAAGCAATTATTCACAGCTGAATGATAATTAAAAACCAAGCCATGTATAAGCTTTTGAACTGTTAGCTAACTGTTAGGCACTTCACAGTTTGTGAAAGTTTTAGCTTCATCTTTTTTAAAATAATCAATTTCTAAAGCAACAGGAAAAATCCAAGCAGCTGCTTTTAGAATATATGCTGCAACTGGCATATGTTTGTTAATTGCTAAAAAAATGAACACACCTTGTAATTAACTGATTGAGGAATTCTTACAGCATAGAAGCAGTATGTGATAAACTAATAATGGTCACAATTAGTGTAATTCAAGGAGAATTGCAGAAGAAATATGACTAGCTGTTTAAAATAAAGGTAAAGACCAGAATGCAAGGTAATAATGATAACCTTGTCCTACCCAGTACTTCTAGTTTAAGATTTTCATGTGTGGCCTATCACATTTCACTTAGATATTAGTCCACAGAAATGAAAATAAGAAGTGTCATTATTACATTATCATAATTTTGAAAGCAAAAGGGGGGGGGCTTTCCAACATCAAAGAGATCATCCTAAGTGGTGGTAAATGGCAATTCTGCCCTTCAGAGCCCACCCAAAAGAAAAAAAAAACCAACATTCATCTAATATTGGTTTAGAATAACAGGATACTGAGAAAAGCAAGAAATCTCTTTCAAACCTTTGGAATGGACTAGAAAATAGCAAGGTTTGCTCAATTTTGCGATGAAACTTGTAGATGAACAGAAGCCTTGCTACTTTGATCTGCTCTGAAGTCATTGTAAAATTCTTTGGGAAATTCCCCAAGCCTTCTCCCAAATCTCAAGCAAGTGTGGAAAAATCTCAAACTCTGTGCTGAGTCATACAGAGCTGCAGAGTTCAGCAACAGATCTTGCAACTTTTATATCCTTGCCAAAAGTCAGCACAGCACGGATCAATTCACCACCTCACAGTTGTATAGGGCTTCAGAACTGCTACAAACATTTGCAAAGGACAGAACTGCATCACAATCAAGGTTAATTGTGATCACAAAATTTGGCTGGCTACCAAGGTCAGAAAAAATATGTTGCCCTCTAGGAAGAATAAATTGCATTGCCACTTTAAATAGTTATACCTCAGCTTTCAATGCACTGCTTCTCAAGGCTGCTTGCAATAGACCATAATGACTAATAAAAGGAAATTAGCTCATGGTCAATTGAAACTATGGGCATGTGATATTAAAGCATCAAACCAACTCCCTTTTGTTGCAGCTACTGGTGTACCTGCAGTGAGTCCAAGAGTAAGAACCTGCACCTTCTGCCCCAGTATTTGCATCCTAGGCAGCACCTGAGTCTTCCTCATTTGAACTTCTAGATGCTTAGTTTAGGAAGTTAGATTATCACCATACCCTGAAACTTGAACAAAATAAATCCTTTCCCCCAGTTTCCTAGTAAGCCTGGCAATTAATATAAACTAGTTAGAATGTTGCAACAGTATAATCTTAAAAACAATGGGCTACATCATGGAAAGTATGCTGAAGCAATGAAAGGAGAACTGACAATGCAGTTAATGAGCACTGTTAACCTGTAACACAACATAGAACAGTAGCTTTCAATGACAGGGCAGTATTTTATACTATTGCAGACTACTGGTACTAAGTAGTAACAGATGAATAAAGATATTCTATATCAGTGGTGGGGAACCTATGGCATGTGTGCCACAGCGGGCACACAGAGCCCTCTGTCGGCACGTGAGCCAAGTCGCTCCAGCATCCGAGTATCGGATAACAGTGCACATAGGGGCCATGCGCATGCTCGGAAAGGAGTAGCAGCGCCAGGTGATGACATCATGAGCCATGGCTCATCAGCTGCAACTCATCCGACCTTTCGCGTGGCTGGTCAGTGCACTGCCACACACACACACTCTTGGACTGGCTGCGAGTTGTTTTTTCTAAACTAAAACCTCAGCATTCAGGTTTTATTGCAGTGTTGGCACTTTGTGATAAATAGGTGGGTTTTGGGCTGCAGTTTGGGCACTCAGTCTCTAAAAGGTTCGCCACCACTGTTCTATATAGTTTCAAATACTTTAGTTAAGTTAGAAGAATGTACATTATTGTTATACAGCAACTTTCCAAGCAGTCTGAACGGTGGGACAATAATCTGAAATACTGTATCAACCAGTCTTATAACCTTTGTTTTCTCAGATAAATACTGTGAACTTGTGTTACTCTACTTGGTATTTCTTTATCATGAGTAAGAAACAAAACATTAAAGTCACCTAAAGAAAGAGTAGTGACTTGATGTAATAGCAGGAAATGTTTATCACTGCAGAGTTGTATTCTTTGTTTACTAAGTGTTATTCATATCTTATGAAATACAATTCTTGGCAAAATATATATGCTTTCACTTTTGGAATATACAGTGCTGCACTGAAAGTTTAAACTATTTTTCAGCTTAAATTCTTATTATTTAGACTCATGGCCAGATCTATCAGAATAGTTAAGCTGTATGACAGTTTTATTGCAGCACTGTATACTCCAGAAGACAAGCAGAAGCCTATACATTTGGTCAAAATTGTATTTCATAAGTCATGAATAAGTATTTTATTGCTAGAATTGTAATCCAACCTGAAAAAACTAAGGGCACACAATCTGGAGGATAGGCATGTCAAAGTGTTTCCAAATACACAAGTGTATTTAAAACCTAGTGACAAACCTGAATATTTTCTATTAGCATTTCTTCAAATCCAGATTAGAAGTGACAGAAAGCGCTATATTAACTATTGGGCAACTAACAATTTACAGAAAACTCCTGGTACATGCCTTTTCATATAGTTCTTTCCTCCCTTCTAATAATAGTGATTTTTTTTTAAATCACACCACTGCCCAGTAGGATAGATGATTTTGTGAAAACTCCCTATGCATTTTAAAATACTGGAAAAGCAGTGGTTTAAATTGCACAAGAAACTGTATGGATAAACAAAACTGATGTTTTCCCACAACACATACATATGACAGAGGGGAGGAGATAGTATGTTTCTGCTTGAACCCCTCCTTCACATATTCATTCACATATTCACCACAGTACATGATGCCAACATAACTTTAAAATCAAAAGTAGTTTATGATATTTAACCTAGAGAATGTTCAACAAGCTATCATCTAGCAGTTAACTTGTAGAATCTACAGTAGTTGTTGAAAAAAATTGCAGTTTGCATAACATGTTAAACAGCTAAAGATCTATGTGTACAACCACAACTTCCGGGAAATGCAACACTTTTTTTCCCCACACATGCCACACCTCGACTTTCAGTCTGGTCTCATAATCTCCTGTTGTCTCAATGGTACAATATTATTGTACAATATTAGACTACACTTACCTTCAATGTTTAGTTCAAAACAAATGTGGCAGAATGAGAGTGTCTCCCTTTCTGTTCCTAATTTGCATATACTGCAAACATTATCATCATTCAAGTCAATGTTAACAAACTGCTCTTCGTTCATAGTGTCCCTAAAAGAAAAAATATCCTGTTAACCAATGTATCCTGAAGACCACCACATCCTGGCACCCAAGCAGCATGTGACAAAGAGTCAAATTCAAAAACAACAAGAACAACTTAATTTCTAAGTCTGGATATATGTTTGTAAACTTGGGAAATTTCTATTTTCATTTCCCATTCATTAAGAACTGGACTCTGATCTCCAGTGTCCTGCATTTAGGTAAACATGAAAAAATAATGTAAACCTATGAAGAGTTTTTGCCTCAGTTTGCTACCCATGACCTAAATATTTTCGAGCTCACTAGGGAAGCCTTTAAATTTTATTCTGAGGTTCTCTGACCCTAAAAGAAAACAAAGCACTTCTTTTAAATTTCCTGTATTTTCCTGAAAACAATTAACACCAAGCAATTTGAAAAGCTTTGCAACAATTCAGCTTGGCAGTCAATGGCAGGCAGCTTTTGCATTATTTACCACATATCTAGAAGTAGGCACAGGGCCTGACTTGTAACTTTTACCCATTGTTTTGAAAACACTACTTGGCACCTGTAGTCATTTTCCCCACCAAAACACAAAAAATGGTTGCCAGTTTGTGGGGATTAGGGTCAGTAGTTAGCAGGCTCAACATCCTACAATCACACTTCCCATACAAAACACAAGGTATATAATTAACTTAAGGCACAGTCCTACTGGAGGGAGGCCTGTAACATATTCCAGCCAACTATACTTAAGCAAGCCACAACATTCCCCATGCTAGCTAGGAAATGCCAGGAGTTGTAGGACTTGTTTCTTTCTAACAGGCATAATATTGTGCCTTTAATGTCAGCTGGCTAGAACATCCTGTTTAAAACACGCCTATAAAACAGTTTGGATTACTCAGAAGCAAATAAACTAAATTAAGAGAACAAGTTTCTGCTTATCAGGTTGCAATAATATTGAAACCCATATCATATCTGCAGAAAGACACAACACGTAAAAAATTATTTCTCTCTCATCCTGTTCAAATGGTATTAAGCATCCATTAACCATTTGATTTGCAGTTAACACCTCAACAGATATGAGTGCTGGCTTCCTACAGAAGACCCAAACATTTTTAGGTTGCCAAAGCCTCTTCTCTAACAGAAGGCTACATCACTTCGGTTTGTTTTTTTTTTTTTTAATTGAAAAGGACCCAAACTACGCCCGCACCCCCCACAAAAAAACCGCAATAACCTGGCCAAAGCCACACTGAGTTTATGAGCGTACATCCCTCGGGCCAAAGTCTAATTTTCGACCTACCAGATTTCAAAGATTAATCGTTAAGAGAAAAGTAAAGCCCATTTGTTTGTCTTGGCGCGAACGAGCGACATAAAAAGGATAAGCCTCTATGCCTGCCTTCCCTGGTATCTTAGAAACCAGCTCAACTATAAGGCAAGCACAGCCTCCCATTCCTCAAAAGAAATGGGGCTTGGTATAGGAAAGGAAACTATCGGACACACGCCGAGAGGGGCACGGTCTCTTGCTCAGCCATCCTATTTCGACACCGCGCTCCCACTTACTTGCGCCCAAGTATATCCCAACGACCTGTCACTCACCTGCTCTTCTTTCTTCTCCCTACGCTATTCAGAATCGCACACTAAATCACGTACCAACCCGACAGAAGCAATAGCCTCGAGCAGAATCGGGAATAATTTGGACAGAGAAGACGACGAAGCGAACGGAGATCGTGCACCTACTCCGTTACCGACTTCACAGGCCACCCTCCCGAGACCGCCCCCCCGCTCCCGCAAGCACAGACGACCCTCAGAAGCTGTAGCGCCGCTTTCCTTCACCGCCCCCGCTCCCCCGCGCTAGTCCTCTTCCTCCTCGGAAGTAGCGCGCTCCCCGTTCACGGCCGCCACGCGCGGGAGCCATCAGAGCCCCTCCCGCCACCGCCGCCACTCAGAGAGGTCTCCTCACCCTGTCCGACTTCTCGTTGTACTACTGTTCTCACGAAATGGCTGTCGGAGCCGCTGCCGAAAAGGCGACGAGAATGCCGAGAAGGCGACAGCGGCGCCAGCAAGATGCACCGCAGAAGAGACTCTCGGCTGGCCTCTGGACGCGTGAAATCCCCACCCCCTTTGTGCTTCCGGGCTAAACCATCACTCATTAAGACAGAGGGGTTGTTACTTGAGTCTGAACAATACAGATATTTTCTTCTCCACGTATCTTCCGCACCGCTACTTAGATTTTCCTCTGAAGTACAGTTCGCCTGCTGTCTGCTCAGCTGTCCTTCCAGCTAGATTTCAGGCAGGAAAAAGTTCAACCGTGTCTGTCCGTCCTCCCCTCCCCGTCTAGGAACAGGCAGCACCCGCCGCTGGATAGCTCAGAGATATACAGAAAAGAGTGACGCGCGGTCCCAGTTCATCCTTACGGTAGATTTTTTTTCCCTCCCACTCGTTTCTCCTCGGAAGAGGAAGTGAGACCTTGCCTATGGTGGGCGGCGGGAGAAAACCTGATCAAAAACTTCAGAGTGGAATGCAGAAACAGGTGTTGGATTACTCAGCTGCCCCGTAAGAACACAACAAGAGAAACGGAGGGAGGCGTTCCTACTCTTTCTTAAGCAGGTCTACAAAATGCCACTAACGGCAACTGATACGTAACTGCGAGTTACATTTGCGATGAAAGGAAGATTGAAGAGTTGTATTTTGCTACAACTCTCCTCCCCCAGGTGCTTTCTCTGAGAAATTTTTGACTAAGACTGTGACTCAAAATCGGCATCCGGCATATAAGACATGTCCTCGTTTTGTTCTTCCAGAGCCTACAAGGCAATGAGAATAACAGCCCTGCACAACATTGCACAGTTGTGTGCTGTTTCATTCAGACAGCCTAACTTGCAATAATGGTACAATAACTGGATTACAGTGCAAGGTTGTTGTAAATCACCATTCTAAGTCTGATTCCGCAACCTGCAGTATTGACTACAGATTGCTATATTACAGGGCTATATCACCCAGTTAACTCAAGAACTCCGGACTGCAATTTACGGATACTGGACTGTGTTGACCAGGACGCTTGCACTTTTAACGCACGCTAAAAGCAGAGTTAGAAAAATTAGGAACTGTTGTCTTTCTTTTGCGGGGAGACGCTGGTGCCAGCCGCCGCTACACTGGAGATCTGATATCTCCATTCATATCTATGGGCAGCTCTCATTGCAGCCATGAGAGAGATCTTAAAATGGAATCCCCTGCATTTTCCGCGCCTGCAAAATAAAGGGACTGGTGGTATATTGTGTGCGTAATGGACCAACCACCATTGGGTGGAGCTGTCCCGTAGAGGCGTCGAATTGCGAAAGTTCCCTCCACCCCCGCCGGGAGTTTTCCGTGACGTAGCGCACCGCCGGGCCTTCGAAGGAGCGCCGGCGTTCCTGCAAAAACCCGCTGCTTCAGTTGCCGGCTTAACTCTGTCGCTTTGACCATCTCTCTCGCCCCAGCCTGCTGGAGTGGTTGGCCACAGGGGCGGCTTCAGTGGCACCCTCAAAATACCTCGCGTTACAAAAAGAATATATCGTTATAAAATCCATCTTCCCCCCTACCCCGCCCATTTACTGTAACAGACTTCCATTAGACCGTACTCGGTGAGATCAGGGAAGCCTGCGCTGGGGCACAATGTCATCCCTCCTAGTCGAAAAATTGCGAGTGCTTGCTTTGCAAGCCTTAGCTTTACTATGCGCTTGTTTTCTTTGCTGCTCTAAGATTCCTTGCACACATGTTGGTTTCCGCACGCAGCCTCTGAGACAAGTCTTAAGCATATGGAGCAGGAAGCCGCAAAGAAGGCTTCTTTCTCACATCTAGGCTTCCTGGGCAGTATACCGAATTTTGTACCCATAAACCCACCCTTGTGGCAGTACAGAGGATATACGAGCACATAAAAGGTGGTGTTGATTATCAGGGTAAGCAATTCGTGAGGCTTATAAAAATTAGCAACAACTGCAATAATTGCTCAGTTTGTGGCAGTATTTGTAAAGCTGCTGAAACTTGTTCCAAAGGGAGTACTGTCTAAGAATACATGATTATATGTCAGAAATACTATCAGACACATGGTAAATTTCTGTTATTGTCAAAAACCAGCATTTCAAGCTTTAAAATGTTCGGGCCACTTATGGCATGCTGAGCTGACAGAAACACGTGTTTTCTTTGGTGCACTAAATGGAAAATAAAGACACATTTGGTTCTGTTTACTTAATTAACATTAAAAAGGCACTGCTGCATGTGCAAGCTGAGCAGTAGTCTTTGAAAAGTGTCAGGCAGCATTAGGTTCATTGTCAACACTGGCTTAGTTTCCATTGATGCTCATTAAAACATTTTCGTCAGCCAAGTTGAGAAGAAATAGCAGTTGATGGCCCTGAAATGAATTCAGAAAGTGCCAACCTGCTTTGTTCATCTGCTCCATGTAGTTGGAAATAACGCGACAGGCTGGAGGACCTAATCCTAGTACAGTTCAAAGGCTTGCTGATTTGAACAAAGCACCAGACATGACCTTTAACCCCTCCCACACACACATGCCCCCACCTCCTAAAATATCTTAAAATAGCTTCTATTCTGGAAACTAGATAGTGAGCATTTGTAGATGTTTATAGTTTATCTGATTGTGATGATACAATATTGGAAACAGAACATGGGGTGGGGTGGGAACCTTTGCTGAAGGCGAATCAAAGCAAAAGAGATAGAGATGCTTAATGGCTGGGGGTGGGATAGGAATTTGCCCTGTTCTGCTGCTTTCCTTTTCAGAGCAGATAATTTGCTGTGTGATGATGATAAACAATAGCTTGGAGTTGCTTTTTTAAAAGGACATTCATATTGTTGATTGTCCTTTCAACAATAAAAAGAACATTACATGTAATGGTTAGACTGTTCAACTAGAGCTCAGGATGCAGAAAGAGACTTCTGTAAAATCCTTGGTCACGCAGTTTGCCCCTTGGCCCTCCACACAGGACAAGGAATGTGCATGTGTGTATGCAGCCTATGAAGTGCCCTAGAGAGAAATCCCATCACATCAGGATGCCCCACAACTACTAGAGGGGAATGCGAGAGCTTTCTTTCCTTTGCTTCTTTATTCATAATCTGCGTCCATATTTCACTATGATGTACATTAATTAACTGTATATAATCTTTGATGCGTCATCCAGATTATCCTGGAATCTGAAATTGAGGCACCTTGGCCGGGTGAGCTTGCCTAGGAACAAAGTATTTCAGGTTGCATTAGTTAAAGCTCTTAGGACACTGTTTTAAGAAACTGCTAACTCCACCTACCAGGGATAAATAAAATAATGTTATACCAGCATGACACTTAATGAAATAAATATTCTTATTGGATTATGTGATTTTCTGTGATACTTATATATCACTTGATACAACAACATCTCTCAGTGTGCAATGAGCTCAGGATGCCTGTAAGCCTCCATCCCCAGGTGATTATGGCCATCCTTTACAGGGTACTTCACACTTCCTCGCCTCCATATTAGCTTGGTGGACCATTTTCACTATCGAGCTGTGGCAATTTGGAGTGGGAGGAAAGGTTGTGAACTGCTCCAGTCTTTTCCTTCCTTGCCCCCCAGAATGCCCTCTTTACCCCTTTTTCTGAGGTCATACCCTTTTAATGACCTCAGCGAGGCAGCTGGTGTAATTATTCCAGTTCCAGCTATGAGAGGGGAAGGAGATCAGAATGCAGATCCCAGGTGTGAGGTTGGAATTCTGTTTTTGACCTCAGATCTGGGAATCCACAGAAGCTTATGGCTCCCTAGATGCTGTCCAGGGGGCCATGGGTTTGCACTTTCCATGGTTTACACTTATATGCATATGTAATACAATAAAACAATGTAAAACCCAGTAAATAATTCTTAAAAAGTTACAAAACAACTCAGTGCCAAGATCCAGACTGACTAGATCAAAATTTCAGCTCCTTTCCACCTGTAATTAGCTTCTTGAATTACAGATTGTGCTTGTCTCAGAATAATGGTGCAAGCATCAGGTCCCTGTATTCTGTCTCAGCAAGCTCCTAGAATCAGGCTACAACTTGCTTCTTTCTACATGAGCATGCTATATTTTTGCAGCTTTGTGGTTTGGATTGCCAACTTGACAAGCAATTTTAAAGCCTGTCTAACTGTGATGCTGAATGTTAATTAAACCAAGTTTTGTCATGTTCTCTTTTGCTTACCATCTGTTTATTCTCATTTGTTTTCTCAAAAAGGCCAGGGTTTTTTTGTTTTTAGTTTTTTTTTTTTTGCTTTTTTTTCATGTTCAAAATGCAGCATGCTTAGTTAGGAATAATAACTATGCTCACATTAAAGCTAAATGAAGGTGAAACAACTCTGGAAAATTGTTTTCCTTCAAAAGAAGTAACAACTTTGCATTTCTTTTGTTTTTTTCCCCATAGATTTTAATAAAAACCTGGAGTAACTCAGATGTTAATTGCACAAAAAAGATGTTTATTTTAAATCAAGGTCATTTAAAGCTTAGGGTTGGGGTCATTTTAAATTACCATACTTGTCCTTGTGGGAAGAAGCTCAAATTAAAAAAAAAAAAGCTCCATCTTTTGTCCTTGTTCACATCCAAGCTCAGATAAAACTAAATGTGAGGCCTGAGAGAGCAATCCTATTGCCTTTTGGAGGCATTTTCATGGGCAGCAGTTTTATTTGTTGCTTGGTTGTAACTGTTTTAATTATTGTTGATGTTTTAGTTAGAAATTCCATTCCCACAATGTTTTTCCCCCTAATCAAGGTGTTGGTTTCCTTGTTACATTTGAAATTAAGACATGAGTATCCTTCTCAAGAGTTTTCAGAAAACCAATGACTAGCAGGTGCTTGGCTTTGACAGATTGTTGCCTATTTTCAAAAGATTTTCTCTTGTAATAGTCTAGGAACATAAATTGTATCCTCTACTGCTAAAATGACAGAAAGCTAATTACAGTAAAAACAATAGCAGTCCCATTACCACCACAGTAAACAGGAAGATCTGGGAAAAAAGTTAATTAGTTAAATAATGCCTTTAACAATCTGACCTCATATCAAATTCCAACATACTTCTGTGCTGACAGTTTCAA